AAGATGGGATTATGATGAATCAATAAGAGAAGAGCAAGCCATCGTCAAAGAGAAGGACGGTCATCGGTCGAAACTTGGCATCAGAGTTCAAGTGGTCAATAGGCTATCTTTTCGTGACCATCGTACAACTGAATGGCAGTATTCATTCAGCGAGAAATCTCTAGTTACATTGAATAGGGTTCCAAGGAAGATCTTCCTGTAACATGTCACGAGGTCAGCAGCACTTTTCCAGGGAGCTAGAAAGTAGAGGTGTACATACAAGTCTTACGGAACCAAAAAAAGCCGTGCAGGAGTTTGTGTTGGGAAGCGGGCATGACTTCATAGTTGCCAAAAATGAGGACGTAAGTAAAGATATGATATATAGTAAAACCTTTACGCATGTAACAATATTAAAACAGGTCAAGAAATGGGTTGTCCGAAGATATGGGAGAGCGGGGAGACTTTGGGGTCAAACGAGAACGAAAGCTAGAGAGGGAGATCACGACACGCATGTGTGGGACCACCAACAAAACAACAACTTAGAAGAGCAAATAAAATTGCATCCTATCGAGGTCGACTCGGGGTAGGAGCATGTTCGCCAATGAATATAAGGTACCAAACGAACCAATGCAATGAAAAGGGCGGTCGAGTTACTGAATAGGAGGTGATCAAGGGGCGGGAAGGGACTAGCTGACCTTTAAAGCCTTTCTGTCGTGGATATTTGCAGGGAAGTGTTGATTGTGTGATATGATTATAGTCACAGGGTATTTAACAGCAAGGATTGCTATTGTGGATAGAGCCTGACTTGTACCCGTGTCTTGGTTCGTGGAACCCAGCATATCATCCAGCATTTTGCCACATGCCACATAAAAGTGGTATTTGATATCAGATTCCAGTTTAGGTGGCTCATAACTGGTGGAATACCGCTTAGAATGACCGATAAACACGGCCAATATGCATCTCCCTGCAAACAAAAAGAGAGAGTGACTCGGGTGTAATCTTTGGAACCACTTCTCACAGCCATGCTTCTTGATCTGAATGCCGACTGTATATAACATGTCCATGGGTTCAGGGTAACAGTCTATTGATAGCCTGCTTGGAGTCTAACGAAGCAACGTCCTGCTCCTTTATACAATTACACCTTGCCTCGCACTGGCCCATCAATAATATTACAGGCATAATTCCGCAGTAAAGAGTATGGATATTCAAGAAGCCACCCTCATATCACTGTACCGTTAAGGAGCCCTGACAGCGGCGACTGGGGTCCCTATTCTCTTCCTATTCGTATGCTTACAACCGAATCTAAAAGCCGATTATCAGATTTGGGACTACTGTATTAAGTAATTGAAAGCAAACGACGCTTCGAATGCCTGTTCAAGGTCCAGGCAAAACGTCTTTATACGTAAAGAATCAACGGTACGTTTACTTACCGACGCAGATCGACTATAGGCAAGTTTTACAACATGATCAATCAATTTTCTAGCATGAAGAATACAAAATTCATGAAACCAATTAGCGAGCTAGACCTCGTATGACAATAGAGATAAAGTCGGCGAGCTTTCGAATCGTAGAGAGTATATCTCGGTCATCACGTTCTAACTGATGGATTTTTTGCTGAAGCCCAACTCTCTCCGCCTCCCAGTTGTATCTCAGTGCATTCATGTTGTCTGATGCCGCCTTGATCCTAGCATTGCGATCGTGAAGTTCCGCGTTTAGCTCCTTCCTTGTAGTCTCGTTCGCCGTCTCCATCTCTTGTCTAATCTTTTCAACCTCCTTCTTGTGGTCTTCTATGACCTTAGCGTGATCCTCATAGAGTATCTTGCCTGCATTCGTATCTCCCAGCTCAAGACGTTGATCAACCATGTCGACTTGAATACGAAGTGGTAGGGGATGATTCGCCAAAATGCTTTGTAAAATGTTCTTAGCCGAATCTGAAGTCTTGTCGTGGCGAATCACACTCGCCCCTGCATCAATTGCGGACCCAAAAAGATTTGCATTCGTAGTCAATTGGTGCTCCCGACGTTCTCCCAGACCTTGTTCTACGGTTCCCCACATATTTGTTACGATCCTTGCGTTCTTGAGTGCAGTGTCTCCGCAAAGCTCTCGAAAGACTTTGAAATTCCTTTTGGAGATGCCGCTCATGCGATAGTCGGAAATGCGATGAAAGTAGAGAACGCCAGATAACATTTTCTTCTGATCGTATCTGTGAAATATTCAGCACGGTCATTATAGCTATACGAGTTTACCATTTACGTAGTGGCAAGAAAAGCCGCGATCATTCTCAAGACTTCCACATCGCTCATGTTGCTGTCGTCAAAGCCAGGAGTATCGACAAGGAGAACTCTTCGACCGTCCAGATAGAAGGGATCACAAGTTTGAACCGCACTAGTGCATGACACCAGTCCTTCTCCAACTTGAAGCTGATCAGAACCGCTGACGAGATTCACAAACGAGGTCTTGCCAGACCCAGTCGGTCCCATGATACTGTACTACCGTTAGCAAAATAAGGCTAGAATAATAACTACCTACGCGATAAGAACGTCGTCGTCTTCAAACTGCTTAGAGAGATTGGGTTAGACCCTTCATGATCGTAAGCGACGGGCACGAGCTAACCTTTTGTCTTTGAGAATAGTTTATGAAGGAAACTTTGGTTGCAAAAGAATGTACGAAAGCAAAAGGACTGATTATGGTATTTATCTATACAATTATTTCACTTTCCAGTTAAAGCCT